AAACGTTATCTGCTGCCAGAGAAACCTAGATTAGTTAGAAAGGTTTTTTATCAGAAGTCATCTTGATAAGTTAGATAAAGACAATATAATATCAAACATCTTTTTACCATTCATCCACTATTTTGGTATCTGTCCAAATACCAAGCAAATACAGGGCCAGTATTTCAGATACCAATAGAATACCAGTAATTTTACTCTACAAAGGAAGGTGTAGGGGAGAGCAGTGTGTCATGATTCATAAATCATCATCAATTTGAAAATTCTGAATACAATCTAAAGACCAGTGCCATTTTTTTTATTTCCTTTTAGCTTATCGTGTATATTGAACTTTTTTTTTTTTTTAGAAAGAGATGGAATGTAAATGTGCCTCCTTTGAATAACTTTCAGTCAACTTATGATGTTTAAATGTGCCACAGGCTATAAAATAGACAGAGAAGAGCAGGAATGATCAGTGGGACTGAATCAGTCTGTGGAGAAGGAGCTCTGCTGCCTCTGTGGAGTGGTGCAGCTGAGACTGGTTCTTCATAATGACCTCCTGAGTCCTGACTTTCACTGACTCCTTCAGATTCTGACCAGCCTTGTGCGTTAGCCTGTCCAGCCTTCTGACATCTGTGTTACACAGAAAATTTGAGATGTACGAAGTGAACGACAAAGAAGATGGGACTAGCTAATGAGGGTGGGGGTGTGGCCTGCTCGGCTTCACCTCAGCTGAAGTGGACCTCTGCACTGTTTGCACTGATGATGTCACAAAGTCCTTCCTTTACCTACAGTCTGTGGTTAAGCTGTGTCCAGATGACTGCAGATACAGTAGTTTCTTCTGCAGGCCCTTGTAGTCATTAACAAGGAGACTTTCCCTACTCGTCCATGTCAACTACTGTCATCTTATTGTCAGCTGCAGCAATAGTGTCAATACTGTCACTGCTCTGACCCGCAGCTGAGCTTTCAGGGTGGTGTCTGCTTGAATTACAGCATTTCTATCAGCTGATGTCATGGTCAAGGGTGTGTGTGTGTGTGTGTGTGTGTGTGTGTGTGTGTGTGTGTGTGTGTGTGTGTGAGGTATGTAAATGCTAAGTCTGACTCTCTTTAGGGTTTAGGAAGATGACGTTATTGGTGTGATCAGGAAAAACTTCTCAGATCATTCACAGTTATTCAAAATGAAAATATATAACCAGCATAGTGCATGCTACTTACACAATGCTTTATTGTTCCACACTGACATATGTTTTTACTTATGAGTTTATCACTGAGATATGAGATAAACATAGGAGAAGAAAACAGTGAGCAATGCTAGCTAATTTTAGCTTAAAAATCAAATATCAATAACTTCACTAAACAAGCACAACCCAGGTGCGACACGAGGACAAAAAACAACACTCACATGTCTTCATACAGGGTTTAAACAGAGACAACATTACAGTACAAGCTAAGGTTAGTCAGCTGGTCTAACTCAGCAGTCTCCAACCTTCTTTGCGCCATGGGCTGGTTTATGTCTGTCAATAGTTTCACAGACAGGCCTTTAAGGTGTCACAGATAAATACAACAAAATAAAACCAGACACATGGGAAAAGACCCAGGGAAACCGGTTAACAATAAAAACGATTAAGAAAAATAACTATAAAAACTGATTAAAACCCCGAAAACCATAAATTTCACACCCGAGCTCAACTCTCGCGGCCTGGTACCAAACGACTCATGGACTGGTACTGGGGTTGGGGACCGCTGGTCTAACTAGTTCTATATTAGCAAGCACTAGCATGCCTGCTAACACAGACAAATGGCAGTCTGTGTCATTTTAAATGGCTGGTTTTAGTGGATACAATCAAATACCAACTTATCCAAACTCGCTGCCCTGATATGAGAACTTATCAATCCTGGAAGCTGATAAATTACATCATCAGTTAGTATTATTATAGCCATCATCAGACTAGCATAGAAAAATACAGCTAGTGGGCTAAGTATAACTTGATTGCAAGCTTTATCACTAGCAAAATCATATCAGAGAGGTAATGCTAGTTGGCTAATTTTCCAAATTACCTCACCCATTTTCTTGATAATGACACAAATGAGGACTAGTTCTAACTATTTTAACTAGGTAAACACATTTAAAGTAGAGACAGTCATTCACTTAAACTGCTAGTAAATATTTTTGAAATTCTTTATCAGCTAGTGGTGCAAAATAATTATCAGTATAATTGCGCAGCATAACTAAGTTACAGCTAGCTGCCTGACCATGTCGCTTGCTAACATTATAGCTACAAAAATCACATCTGAATGGGAATGCTAGTTTGCTAGCTTTCCAAATTCCTTTTTCCAACTAACACAACACTAAATTTTGTATAATGTGTTTATTTTAGTCATCAAAGCAAATAAGACCATATATTTGGTGGTAACCTGGTCTACAGGAGTGGATGTATTTCTGTTAGAGATCACAAAAAGCCTAAATTCAGAGAGTCAGCGGCTGTTTGGCTGGATGAGGTTTTTGGGGTTTAACTGCAGCTCGGCAGTGAAACCCTGCTCCTGTTTTATGACCATTATACGAGCAAAACGCAAAGCTTGTAAAGCTCTGAAACTCACTTAGGACATGTGCCAGCTGTGTGTTTCTGTTAAAACACTTTTGAGCTTTAAATGTGACCAAAGAGAATCCCATTTTAATAATTACAGGTTTTGATATCATACTTTATGGGTCCTTGAACTTGTGGGCCATCTTTTTCTCCAGATATCAGAAAAAGAAAAAGAAAATGTCCTCAGCACCAACTCTAAGAACATATCCTGAATATAATGAAATCAAAAAATAACAGTAAGTTTCCAGTGTTCCCTTATTTCCTCATGTCCTCCTTTATCTTCTGAACTTCCTGAGTCATTCTTGTTCAACTCAAACACGTGAAACACGTGAAGTCAGTGATTCAGAACATGGCAGGGAAAAAGACAATAACACAATCAGGTCTGGATGTGTGAATGTGCGAGTGAATGTGAGTATGAATGATTGTCTGTCCTTGTGTGTTAGCCCTGCGACAGACTGGCGACCTGTCCAGGGTGTACCGCGCCTCTCGCCCTATGACAGCTGGGATTGGCTCCAGCACCCCCCGCGACCCTGAAAAGGATAAGCGGTAGCGAAGGATGGACGAATGGACAAGTAGGGCTGTAACTATAGATTATTTCAGTAATCAAGTAATCTATGGATTATTCCATCGATTAATCTAGTAAACGGATAAAAAATACTTTTGTCTTATTAATGAGCAATCATAAACATTCAAAAGAGAAAAAACACAGGTCTTTCACAATAAACGACTCATTGGATTCTGTTTTTTCCGTGGAGCTTTACTGCAGATTCTTCTGCCATGTAAGACAAATGGCGGTGGATGGAGCAGCTACAAATTTCACCTTTCTAGTTGTTGGAGTTTGTTGATCAGGTGCTTTGATGAAGGACTCCCGCAGCTTTTTCCCAATAAAGTGTTTTAATGTTGATCACAGGAACAGAGCTGCTGTTTGTTTTCACTCTGCCTGACCTCACTGTGTTGTAATGGCTCCGCCTCTTTGCCCTTTGTGGTGTGTAAATAGACTCCGCCTCTATGTTAAAAGGTGCCAGCGTCATCATCACTGCTGCTGTTGTGTTAGGTGTTTTTGTTTCAGTATTTTTGTTTTAAACTGAGAGCTGTGTGGCCTTATTGTTATCTGAGTTTTTATTCACACGCTGCTCCTAAATACATTTGTACTGCGGGTCTGTTTTTAGTCATAAACGTGTCTGAAGCACTCCCATTTACATCATTTAACACATCGCCATGCTGCAGAGCTGTGCATTAAACAAATCATTAAAGTCAAGAATTTGTGTCAAATCAAATTATTTGAATTACTCAATGAATAGTTGCAGCTCTAGAAACAACATTAGCGAGCAAGCTAGCTATGATTAGTTCTGTCAGTAAGTAAACTAATGTTAGCTAATGCTAGCCAGCAAAATATCTATTTTTATGTAATGAAGCCAACCAGGCTGGGGACCTTAGGTGGTCAAC